AAAAAAAAAAAAAAAAAAAAAAAAAAAAAAAAAAAAGAATATAAGATCCAAATACCAAGGAAGGAGGAAGGAAGGAATAAGAAACCAAAAGGTCCATCAAAAAAGGATCAAGCTTTATAAAATAAATCCAAAGGCAAACATCTGTAAGTAAATATTATTATTTCTTTCTACTCCATACAACACAAAACCAATTCAAGTATAAAATCTCTACATAGGGATCATGTATTGTTAAGGGAAGGGGCCACAGTAAAAAAAAATTATAGATATTTTCTTCTACAGAAAGATACAAAATTAGGGCTGTGTCACCCAAATAATACTATATAAAAGTTTTAACAGAAATCATAAATCTATTCACCTGACAACAGAATTCTCCCATTTTTCTGACTTAAACATGCTTGCTTATTAAAAGCAGAAATGGATGTAAGTTATCCTTTCTCCCTCTCAAGATGGACCACATTCAGAAGTCCTGTGGGAAAAACGCCTAACTGCCACTCAGGGCAGTAACAAATAAGGCTCTAAACCACAGCGAAGGGTTCAAACACAACAACTTCATAAACACATACCACAGAAACTGGAGGAACTGAGGTTGACAAGTAAGGAAGGTTATTTTCTTAATGAACAGTACCAGCACTATTCTCGGGAAACATACCACAGAGGGAGGTGGGATTTTAACACCTATTTGTTTGCATTTCTAAAGCAGATTTAAGCAATCCTGCTTTGGGACAACATGCGCCATAGCAGGCCAAAGCATAAGGAAAGTTTGTACCAAGAACTAGGGTCCAAGCTGGGCATGGTGGCGTGTGCCTGTAATTTCACCACTCTGAGAGGCTGAAGCAGAAGGAGCACAAGTTTGATCCCAGGCTGGGTAACTTGGCAACCAATAAGACTCTGTCCTAAAATGAATAATATAATAATCATAATAATAAAGGTTGGGGATATATCTCAGGGTCAAGGGCTCGGGCTCAATATTCAGTACAGGAAAAATAGATTTGGGGTCCTTTTGAAGAATGCAAAGACAAAGATAAAGTACACCTGTCCCTTTTACTTCTGCTTTTTCCAAATTGCCACCTTCTCTCTACTCTCACATTGCTAATGTTCTTTGCGGGGGTGGGGGCTGAGATAAAATGATATGCTTCTGCTGAGGATCTCTGGGCTCTGATATCTCCAAATAATCAAGAGCACGAATCCTAAGGAATGAAGTACTTGCACACAGTGAGCTTGTCCTGCGTTATTAAAATTTGTTACCCGATTATTTCCCCTTGCAGTGACAGCTATAGATAATGATATTGTGTGTGCGCGAGCGTGTGTGTGTGTGTGTGTGTGTGTGTGTCCTCTCAGGGAGAGCAAAACACTTATAAAATACTTAGAAACTCAAAATGCATCAGTGAATAGGCCTTTATGTTGGATATTTATGGGGAATTCAGTTTGTTTTCTGATTCTGTTTCAACTTTTAAGGACCACCGTTAATGTGATTAATTAGCAAGAATTTATTGACTTGAAAAATCTCGACAGCCAAATGTATATGATTTTCTTAAATGTATTTTTTCAGGTGAAACTATAAACTGGAGGCCTAATTAAGACCTGCTGTTTCCTGAAATTTTGTGTGCACGGCTCTGGGAAGGAAAAGGAGCATGAAGCTTTGCTGAAGGAGTCCGTGTAATCGTAAGAGAAAATCCCAGCATTCTAGTCACTCCTTTCAGTCCTCACCTAAGGACCACAGTGAATTTATGTCTATGGCAAACATGAAAGCCCGCTGTGGAGTGGCTGAGGGAAAACTCAACTCAGCGCGAACGTCATGCGCTCAGACTTCAGCTGCTCCCAGCCAATATTTCCAAATTTAAGCTTAAACACCATGATGGATCATGCAATTTTAGTCTTTTGACATTTTCTTACATATTCCCTTCCCACTACTTTGCTAAGGATAAAAGTCTCTCTTTCTTACAAGAGACAGCAAAGCAGCTTCTAAGAAATATAATAATAATACAAAAATATTCAGTGTAAAATTATTAACGGGATGGGATTTCGGAAGACCTGAATTGAACTGATTTCTGTCAAGTGCTCGTTTTATCTGCTTTCATTAGAAGAATCTATTTTTTCCCTTATATTTCCTACTTATTGAAGAGTTATATTGGCTTTAAACTATAAGAATTAAAGAAATCTATATATCTAAAAATTGTTTCAGTTTTATTATTTTGTTAACATATTTATTTGGCTTATCCCCAAACATTACAATCTAGTGGTGGTAAACTTCAGAAGTCAAAATTACTTCAAAATAATAATTATTTTACTCACTTGAAGGAAGCTTTCTTCTAGTGTCTCAGTAAAAAAATATGAATTGCTTATAACTTGAGCACCGAAACCAATCTCAGCTAGACATTCTGAAGTGACATTCTAACAATGCATGTGACAAAATGTGAGCTCAGTATCCACACTGCCCTAGTTCGGTGTCCTTGCTAACTCAATTAAATTGTAAAGAGTGGGAAAAAGTCATTGTATTTTTTTTTAATTATATTTTCTGAAAATTGAGAAGAGGGAAACTTGCCCAGTTTACAAATCTCAACAAGAAACAAGATATTGCCTTTTAACTAATGCACCACATATTAATTAGGTCAAAAGGGATCAATCACAATTTATAGTCCCTGTTTATAGTTCTGTAGCCTATGTGCTCCACAGACCCAAAACCCTTTTTCCAACCAAAAAGCCCTCCTTTCCCAGCCTCATTTTGTGCTTTTGCAAAGGTGAAGATGAATAGAAGCTCCTCTTTCCCTTAGAATCTGTTCAGTGTGCTTATGCAGGAGCTCACTGCCTCAGAGAACATTAGCCATTCCCGTGGACATCCTCTTGCCTGTCTTTTGCTGAGATAGACACATGTCTGGTCTGCTCTTTTGAAGAACAACCCATCTGCCCTAGCTCCACCTTGCTGCCTTCTTGCTTCATGCCAGTCCTAGCTAGGCCCTTGCTCCAGAGCTCAAATCCCCAGGCCACAAAAAGGAAGAATAGCCACATCGGAGCTGCTCCTGGCACCAAGGAAAACTATTTTCCCCGGGAGGCAAACACAGTCCAGGCAGTGTCCAAAGTATCAATCCCTCTCTTCTCTGCTATAAAAGGCCCTATTGTAGAGACACAAATCATTCAGAGATGGCATGCACAATGTCTCATCACTTAATAGCCACCGAGCACCCACTGGGTACAGGCCTCAAACTAGCTGCTGGCTGTAACCTACTCACTGGAGAAAGGCAGAAAGATTATGACCCGGATTTGTATTCATCTCTTGTTCTAGCCCATGACACCATGGCAAACACAAATCCTATGAACAAGTAGACATTTACAGATATAACAGGGATGAGAATATTTTTATGTCTCTGTAGCAAGGTAGGGGACAAAACGTGAGCTTGATATTCACACTGATCCTGTTCGAAATCCTGCTGCTATCATTAATCAGCCGTGTGGCCTTAAAAAGCTTACTGAATCTTTCTGGGATACTCTTTCCTGGTTTGCAAACTGAAAATAATAATGCACACATCATAATTTCGGTGAAGAACGTTTCAGTGTACAGAAATGTTTCGAGCTGTGTGCAGCACACAGTGGTTACTCAGTAACAGCTCGTTCCCCACCTCTAGAATTCTAAATGCTGTCAAGATACGTTACATACCGTGTCTTATTGGGTCCTTACACAAATCTTTACTTATATGTATATTTTAATTTTATGGGCAGACTTTTGGGTCTTTGGATTTCTTTTTGTTTCCTTTTAGGAAATTTAATTGAAAAGGTACACTTGTTTTCTCCAGTTACCTTAGCTCTGCTCCTGGGCATGTTTCACAAAATACCTGAAGCTATAAAAGGGAGGGGGAGATTTTATTCCAGTGTTCCAGATGTCTTCAGCACCTTGACTTTGGTAATATAGTAAGAACAGTAAGTCTTTTTAATGAAAGTGAAAGGTGTGCATTGTGCTTAAATCTGGAACGTTTTCCCCCTGAAGAAACGCTGCCACTGGGACTGCATCCCACCATCTTAGGCCGGGTGAGATATGTTTTTGCTCATGCTAACCCTTTTTCAGCACATTTTCAAGCCACTGCAGTTGGTATCCAAGCAGTTAAAACTACATCAGCGCTAATAGCTATGAGCTCATCTTGTATAAAGACATTTTTAGTTAAACACCACAACCTTTGGGGGGGTGGGGTTAGCATGCTTAACCAGGCTGGCTTGGAATAGCTCACAATATGACGCACACCACAGGAAATAGAGTGGTATGAGGCACCTACAAAATATTTTTCAAACAAGTCATTGACGCTGTAAGCCCCATGCCTCAGCTTTAGGAAGTCACTTATTAAGAATCAACACCAGCCGTGCCAAGCTAAGCTTTTGCTCTTGGTGATTTTCCAATTGAATATTCAGGGCCCTGTCTCAGTCTTGTTTTCAGGGAAGTACATGCCTGGAATGTTAGCAAGCTATTTGCTGGAAAAAATGCCCACAACAGGCCCAATGTTGATCACATTAATGCGTTTGAGTGGGTATAGAGTGCAAATGATTGAAAATGCTTCCAGATCCCCGTTACAGGGGACAAAGCAGGCTCTGTTCTCTGATCTGATGGTCATTTTTTTTCCAGCGGAGGATGTGGCGCAGGAAGAGGGAAGAGAGCCAATCTCTGTCTAATGGTTCCAAATAGGGCCTGGGCCTAGCTCTTTGGATGCTGATGAGTGGGAAATGAAACACAGATGGGTCAGATGGGTAAGGAGAGGGGGATTACAGGTCAGGCCAAAGAGTTGGAATAAATTAAGTGCTTATGAGGTACAGAATGGCACATTGTTTAAGTGAATGGACAGGGAAAAAACATTCCAGCATTGTTTGGTTCAGTGAGCCAGCTCAGAATTCCCCCTCCCGGAACAGGGTAGATCGCGAGACCCTCAACCTTAGGGTGTGTGTGAGCAATGGACCCAACCGTGGCCACTGGATGCCTGAAACATTCTCCTGCACCCTAAGGAAGCCAATTTTGTTTTATTACACAGGAGATGTAATTTATTGGGAGAAATGTTTGGGTTCATGTGTCAGATCATAGGGAGTCAGATTTGGGGTTCCCTGGGGATCTCAGAGGAGAAGGTGAGTAACCACAAATTAATACAGCAGGGAAATAAAGTGACAAAAGAAATGTTTCATTGTGCTTGAAATATTGAACCAATTTCCCCCTTTTTAGCCTTTTAAACCTTTGCTCACAAATCAAAGAGTAACTTAAGAAAACTCAGCAGAAGCCTGGAGTGTTTGATAACAAAAACAGTACGTCAAAGCTATTCTCTTAGATTTAAGTGAATTCATCTAGTAAGGAAAGATGGTGAAAACAGGCTTTTTTAGAAAATTATCAAAACAAATAGATAATTGAAAATGTGGCACTGATGACCATAGTGGTTGTCTACTGTGTGTTCCAGATATGTTAGCAGAATCATGAAATTTGAAGTAAATGCAACTCTGATTGTTTAATATCAAAGTAACCATAGGACACACTGGGTAAATTGTGTTTTCCTTTTTTTTTTTTTTTCCATTCAGTTTATTGGTACATTTTAAACACACGATACAGTTACATTTATCATTGGGAATTTGTACTTTACATGACAGGTATTGGTTTTTATTTCTTCCTCATCCCGCTGCCCTTCTCCCTTCCCTATTTACAAAGACATTGCTTTCATTTTTTTCATTTTTTTCACATTTTTTCTATTCCCTTATTTCCTTTCCCCTCCCCTTGCCACTTCCCCTTTAGCCATTTTCTTCCTACTTCACCCTCTCAATTATACTGTTTGAAATTGTGTTTTCTTGAAGACATAAAATTAATAAAATGTTAAGGGCAAAAACTATCTGAAAGAGAGCTTAAGTTACAGTTGCCAACAAAATTAGAAAGTTCTAAAGGTTGAAAATTAATGGTTTATTTTTCAGTATGACAGAAATTATTTTCAGAAGCTTATTTTCATACCAGCCATGTTTCCATTTTATGGATTTGACCTTTACCAGAATATCCCACAGGCAAAGCTGGAGACAGTGGTTGTCTGTAGTCACAGGGATGCCTTGCTCCCAGTATTAAGAGCTTCTCTGCCTATTGATCACTGTATTACAGCCCCACAGACTGCAGAGAGACTGTGCCGAGCAATCAGGGTAAAAAATCTTTAACAATATCTTTATGAGGCAAGTGATTTTCGTTGTTAATATTTCTGTAAGTTGCTTCACTGAGTGATACTAATTACCATCTTATGTACCATCTTATTTTCTACAGTATAAGGCCGTTTCAAAACTAATAGTTGTACATTTATAATTCAAAAATCTTGCTTTTTCCTCCTAATCTTCTCAGCTACAAAATTTTATTATTCTATGCTCTGAGTCCCAGAAATGGATCCCAAGGATAAATAACCAATTCAAAAAATAAAATTTGAAAAATGATCATAACACAAGGATCAGAATTAAGAGTTGTAGAATAGAAAAGTAACACAGAGAGTTTCCTACCACATGCTGAGCAAAAACGTAAAAGTATTATCATGGAAAGAAGGACAGAAACTTATCAGAAATTAATATTCACTTGTGGGTATTTGTTGTCTATTTCCAATAAAATAGATGTTTTTTTCTTCAGGCTCCTTTAAGATAAAAAGAGTAACACTGGAAAATGTTGGGGGAAGACTCTGAAGGCAAAAGTTACTTTGATACTTTTTTGTTTTGTTTTGTTGTTTTGAGACAGGGTCTCAGTATGTAGTTGAGACTGACCTGGAACTCACTATGTAGCCCAGGCTGGTCTCGAACTCACAGCAATCCTCCTGCCTCAGCCTCCCGAGTGCTGGGATTACAGGCATGCACCACCATGCCCAGCACTTTGATGCTGTTTCAATGACTGTGTTATATCATAAAATTGGAGATAGTTCTCTTCAGA